CCATATGTTTATGGTCTTCAAGATTAAGTACAAAACATGGACTGGACTTATATTTATTACTGAACAATTTTGAGAAAAAATGAGTTTAATTGTCAGTTTCAATAATCTTGGTGGCCATGTTGGATTATTTACGTGACCTTTGTCAGTGGCCTGGTAATATACATACATAAAATATGGTCATGTACATCCAATATCAGTAAATTACTGTGAAATAATTTATTTTAGCTGGAATAAATTTTTGCTGAAAAGACATTTTGGGTGAGGGATACTGATGAAAGCATTGTATTCTCAGTTAGGGCACAGGTGTTGTGTGTATGGTGGTGGTGGTACTGGTGGTGGGTGGGGGGGGTGCGTAACATAGTCCATGACTAGTGTTAAATACAGGAAGACAAAAAAGATCAGTACTGTTTAGTTGTAAGTAATATTTATTTTGTGTTCTGTTTTTTTTTTTAAAAATATTCATATATCAATAACTAAATAAAACTGGTCCATAAATACTAATATTATACAATGTATACAATAAATACAATGTATGTATTTATTTTTTTTTAAATCTGGATATAAATACATATATTTAGATACAATACCCTTCAATGGACAAAAAAAAGTGTTCTCTTTTCTGAAAATATGCCCATGTCATGCATGTGTCTGTTAATAAAAAAATAATAAAAAATTGAAAAATCATGGATCAACAGTCATTAATCATTTTGTTTTAAATATAGTTACTTCTTTTCAAAAAAAAAAATGTGATAGTCTTGAACCTGTATACACATGGTTTACAGTACCACATCTCTGGCAATGGATATACAGTATACTAACAAGACCATATCGTCTCTCCTCCTGGCAATCCATCAGAACATGGTGTTCACAACACACAGCACAGACTTTTAGTCCCTCAGCTAGAACAGACAGCTGTACTATTCTGCGTCCAACATTCCAATTTATAGTACTCGCTGAAGTAACCTCTGTAAAGATAAATCAGATTATCATTACTGTCATCATGTAAATAAACTTCATGCAATTTGCACTACTATACTGGCTAACAGGTATTGACAACAGTAAGATGTTAACATATTATCTGTGCTATTCATAGGAAATGTATGAATATTTACAGATGTAAAAAGAAACCATTATTCCAAAATCATCATTTCTAAAGGAGCCATAGGCAAAACAGAAACTCTCTCACAGTCAGATGAGATGCATGTGAAAAATAAAATATAACAATAATGGAAATTTTTAGGTAACATACCGGTAGCACATTTAGAAATTTGAGATGGGGGTCATGGCTTATTTTCAGAAAAAATCATCTATTTGGAGAAAATGTCCAAAAATATATATTACAATGTAGAATTTAGAAGAAAAATATTTGACACAATAACAATTAGGAAAAAAATATCTACTATCTGGAAAACCCAACAAATATGCAAGTATCTGGAAAACCACATTTGAATTTCCTTAACAGCTGTAAAAATGTACATGTTAATTTTTGTTGAAGAGTAAACAAATGGAATTTCAATGCTCTAAATTTATAACATCAGGAAAATAAATAAATGGATTTCAAAACAGCAAAATATAGAAAATATTTGAACATGCTGTTTATTCATAGTTAACATTGTATCCCCTTTGTTATATGGAACTGCGAGGTAATTAGGCCCTTAAATTGGTGGTTTTGTGCATATACGGTAGTTAAAATTACCAGTTCGTGGTTGAAGACACCTCGTCATAAATATATAAAGCTGAAGAGGTCGTGACAGAAACAATGTTAAACGTCGTTGTCAATTATTTTTTTATCCCAATTTCTGTATTTAGTGAAACAGGAAATAGAAAAAATAAACACTGTTTCCCATAAAATAAGCATAATCCGATGTCATAAAAACAAATAGTATGCGAAAATATATTGATTCAAGTTGTGGATACAGTTGCAGACCACTTATGCAAACATCGTATACTGACACTGTACGTACATACCTGAATTTGGATAACCTGGATAACTGCCAACCTTCTTCTCTTCTCTTTCTCGGCCAAAAATCCTTTTAATTTGCGTACATTTGCTTCAGCATCCTTTTGATTCGATGATCGTGATGCATATACGTTTATTGTGGCTGCCATCATGAAAGTCTGTTT